ATTATTATTATTATAACTTCTATAGCGCCCACTCCCTCGTCGCTCAAGGTGCTTCACAATAAAATAGATTTTTACATCCAACGTTTTATGCATACTCGCCCATTCAACGTACAATAGTTCTTTCAAATACATAAAATAATATTCTCTCGCAATCTGACGAGAACGCATACACAAAAAAGACCATCACTGTGGCTCTGATTATGCTGGCTGTTGGAAGAAGAATAAAATTAGTTAGTAAAATGCAAAGAGAAATACCATTTGAAAGAGCTGCACAGCTGGCCTATCATAGAAAACAGCAACGCACCTCGATGCTTAACGGCAACATAGGATGCAAAAAATAAAAGTAAAGGTAAAGTACTTAAAATATATATATATGTGTGCATGTATATTGTCGAACCAGCCAAAAAGCAAACAAGTCCAAAAGTAGAAAAGTGGAAAAATAAAAACAGCGTCTCAATCCTCACTTGTAGCTGCGTGAGCCCGGCAAAGGCGTGCAGCTCGATGGTGCGCACCAGGTTCCGGGAGAGGTCCAGAGTTCGAAGCTCCCTCAGGCCGTTGAAGCTGCCGTGCTGAATCATGCGTAGCCCGTTGTCGGAGAGGCTGGGGTAGATTATAATGTATACATTTATAGAGACGTCGGTTGTTATTTCTTTGAGAATTTTTTGGTAAGATTTTACGGCACTCGCAACTGTATAAGCTCATATGAGCGCCAAGGAGTGGATGTCAACAGATAAAGCAAAACGGGGAAACAGGCTTACTGTGCTCACCTTTGTGGCCTCAATAGCACAAAGTCTGCTTCAACTATCAAGGCACCCCGGAAATACAAGTTCACAAGAGAGTGACAGACATATAAAAGAAGTAGAGGAAACATGATGATTGTAAGGATGAGGAAAGAAAAAGCAGCAGCTGCCCCGATGTTGTTCTGGCACAGTATGAGCATGACATTGATAAATCAGCCCATTTACAATTCTACTGTTCGTAAGAACATGTTAATATCCATCCTCCCTTTGGGAATGGCCTAAAGACACCCCAGTCAGTAGCACTGCCCTGGGTGGAGGTGGGAGTGAGAGAAATTTGGTTTGATTTGGAGTAACACTATAGTTCTACGAAAGTGTGTATGAATGCGTAAAGTCGTAAAGCGGAACACTTTGGCACAATTACGGTCATTAGATGCAGGGAAAAGGTAAGATAGATAGGATATAAAAGAGGGAAAGAACAGAAGTAGGACCTACCGGTGTGGCCCTCCAACCGCCTGCATTGTAAGAAAGACTTTCTGAGTTTTGTAATGTGGCTGAGTTTGAGGTTCATGTGTACATTGAAGGAGAAGCACGTCGATATGATGATGGTCTGAGGGTGCTGGGACGAAGGAGACAAACAGAACTCGAGAGGGGAAAAGTTCGAAAACGAAAGGTCTTCAGTTACATTTGTGATGCGCGTTTTCACACACACACACACACACAAACACAAACACACACACACACACTCACGCACGCCCGCGCACACACACACACGCACGCGCGCACACACACACTCACACGCACGCGCACACACACAATTACTCACAATTACACACACATACACACACGCACACACACATATACACCCATACACACATAGACGCATACACACAAGCGCTGAAAATACAATATTATGTAAATAAAACTGGTGTACGCATATATACATAATATATTGATTATATTTATACCCCTATATTGTTATACAGTACATGTAAAAGAGATCAATTCCGTTTTCGAATGAATCAGAAACGAACTGGCGGGGTTGGATCGAAAACAGCCACCGAAGTATGAGTCCCGTTTTGCAACGCACTACATTTAATTTGGGAGAAATGGAACATGTAACCTGTACAGCTTGCTGATAATCTGGTAAATAAATTATAACAGTTTACAATCTCGAATAAATGAAGTGACACGCAGAGCTTTTTGTTTTCTTGTTCGTGATCAAATGGACAAACAAATGAACAATGTGCGGCCGGCGTCTGCGGTGTAGCTGTCATGCGCTTCGTCGTCGCTCGCAGAAGACGTGTGTTCGATTCTCAAGTGGGGAGGGGGAGGGGAGGGGGAGTTGTTACCGAGTATCTCCGTTTTTCTGCTGGGACGTTGCATCTCTCTCTCTCTCTCTCTCTCTCTCTCTCTCTCTCTCTCTCTCTCTCTCTCTCTCTCTCTCTCTCTCTCTCTCTCTCTCTCTCTCTCTCTCTCTCTCTCTCTCTCTCTCTCTCTCTCTCTCTTTCTCTCTCTCGCTCTCTCTCTCTCTCTCTCTCTCGCTCTCTCTACCCATGTTGGCCCTGACAGGTGGGTAGGAAGCAGCCCGCTTCCCAAATGATCTAAATTGTGTCGATGACGTGGGACACCTTTAATTTAAGAAAAATGTTTGAACAGTATTATGCGGAACAACTGCCGAACAAAGAGAGACAACTCCAGCCGCCAGCCATGGCAAAGCCATCGTTCTCAATTATCACATACCCCCCCCCCCTTTCCATACGCGGATACACACTCACACACCACACCCTTCACCCTGGCTTCGATCCTGCACATTGCCATTGCGGCTCTCTGCAAAACCACAATTGCCCTGACAATGGAATCAGATCACCCCCCATTTTTCCGGTCACTTGAGTGAAGTCCCCTTACTTCCGTCCACTTCCCCCCTCTCCGCCATTGTGCTCCCCGAGACCTTAATCAACGAGTGAATTTCATTTTGCGGGCTTCTACCAGCTCAACAGAGGAGCCAATGTGGCGATTAAAGTGATAATGCCTCTCTGTTTGCCGACGTTTGTGATTGCAGCGCCGCCGCCTGGCAATGGGAATATCGATTGTGGCGTCAAAGAAAACCCGCCAAGGAGAGAAAAAGAAGAAAGATTAAGAGCCGTTCATCTTGTTGTGGCTCCAAGATTTTTATTTTTTTATAAACCGCCAAGGGATTTTTTTAAAAAACTGTTAAAGGAAAGAAGGTTAAGGGGGAAAAATGTTGATTAAGAGTGTTCATCCTCTTGGGAAAAACGGAGAGGAAAGTGTTCTTGCTCGCTGCGTTTCTTCGGGAACCTGGCTGTGGCAGGCAATTTCTCTCGTTGAAAGCGTTTGTGTTCTCGAGGCTTCGTTTACGTTTTGACCAATGTCTGTGCAAGCTCACATTTTTTAGTAAGAAAGATCTATAATAATATGTCTGTGCAAGCTTAATGTTTTTGTGAATGTTTGCTTGTGTATTTGTCTTTTTGTCAGTCTCTATTTTTTGTCTATTCTGCCTTGCGTATTACTGCTTTTAGGTACCAATTCTAACGTCGTGTTATTTATTGCTGTATGCGTGTGTGTGTGTGTGGGGGGGGTTACAAAATAAAATATACATGTATAAATATAATGCAAATAGATGCTGTATTTGGTTACTTTGTTGCGACATCAGTACAACCTGCCGTGGTACGTAAGAGTTATAGATGATAACGGATAGATCATATTTGCCTGTTATCGCGTTCTTTTGTTGCTTTGTTATGGTAGGTGAGATGGAGGGGTAAGGGGGGAGGGGAGGCTTTACATGGGATTTTTGTGATTACCACCATAGTCCAGTTTTATGTATAACTGAAATAAATACACGAGGCCGAGGATGAACGTCTTTGACTGTTCTGAATGTTGCGACACCCTTCAGAAACGGCGGTTGTATATTCAAAACCCCACTAATAATAATAATAATAATAATAATAATAATAAAAACGACGACGACGTAGCACTCACCCCCGATTATTAAAGAAAACGGGCTCTGAGCGCTTTACAAATACAATAGAAACACATAAATAGTTCAATTTGTTCTGACTAAAAATCGATAAATATGTAATAGGGGGCTCTCGTGGCCTAGAGGTTAATTAAGGTGTTGGCCTCTCTTTCAAAGGTCCCAGGTTCGAATCCGGGTAACGACCGAAAAATTTTCTTCTCTAAAATTGTCTCCTTTCACCTCCTTTCCTGCTCTCTAGCAATATTCTGTCGTCTGCTTTCGTCTCCTCTTTCTGCCCCCACCCCCTCACCTCCTTTGCCCCCTCCTCTGGGCTCCTGACTCTTTCTGCAGCCTTTCTACTGCTACTCCTTGACTCCTTCTTACAGCTGTCTTTCTGCCACACCCCTGATCTTCTGGTAGGAAAGATCTACACCTAGCCTTCTCGGACAAGGGCGAAAAATCTCGGAGGGCCCGTGTGCAAGTTGCGCACGTTAAAGATCCCTTGTGGTCTAAAATCGATAAGAGTAGGCTTCGGCCGCCACCCGGGCAAAATTCAAAATTTCCTACCAACTAAAAGTATTAGGTGTGTCCCGCGCGCTCATAATATGACCTCATGCAGTTGCGAGCGCAGTAAAACCCTCTACTATAAAAAAAATATATATATATCTAATTGAATCTTTAAAAAATGGAAATACGTTTAGCTGACATTTGAATGAATTATTTTTAAAAACGATCTCTCTAAGAATACTGGACAAAACATTCCTGATCTTGGGCCATGACATACAAATGCCCTTTCAACCATTCTTTAAAGTTTCATAAGAGCTATTTCTTTTGGTCAGCTGACCTTAAGCGGCGAATTGGAATGTACAGTTTCAACATATTTGCTAAATATGAAGACAAATGATCATTTAAGCATTTGTGACAAGTAACCAACTTGTTTATATATAGTTTTTTTCTCAACTGGAAACCATGACGGTAACCGTAAAAGAGGTGTAGCAGAGTATCTCATTCTTCTCTGTAAAACTAAACGCTTAGCATTGTTTTGAAGAGTTTTTCTCGTTTTCCAGAAATATTCATGATAACAAAGAGTAACAATAATCAAATCTTGATTGAACTAAGATATTTACTAATAAAGCACAGTATTTATGATTGATTAGGTGATGTATTTTATCGATATTTTTTATAACTTAATACATGCTGTTGATCGGATGATTTACCACAGTCGATATTGGCGAATTGGTATCAAAATAGATGAAAAAAAATTTTATCTTTCTTGAAAATGCAATTTCTGCATCACTCATTTTCATGTGATTGGTGTAATCACTAGGGATGAAATGTGTTACGAAAGCCCGGTTACGCGCTTTAAAATTCACAAAATGTCTAATGCAGGCATGGTAAAGGTCAAGTGTGGGTGGTTGGCGGGTGCTCCGGTGTAGTTTGCTCTTTTTTTCTTCAGTTATCGTCATTATCTCTCCTTCTTTTTTGTGTTTGTTACACTCTTGTAACACCTCTAATCTGCGGCACTTATATGACCCAATTGTGTTGCAAATGTCGTAAAACTCTTACAAAAAATAATTTAAAAATTAATAAATCTGGGAAACATTGAGTCTTGTTTGTGTAAAAAATTATTACCGTACCTCCCTTCCGAACGTAGTGCTTTGTCAAACCTGAGTGGGGTCGGTGGCCTAGTGGTTAGGCTTTGGGACCCGCAATCGTGAGAGTGTAGGTTCGGGGGTTGAGCCACAGCTCAGTCCGACGTAGTGGCCTTGGGAAAGGCACTTTACACAAATTTCCCATTCGGCTCGGTCCTTTCGGAGATGAACATTAAACTTGGAGGTCCCGCCTTTTGAATAACCTTTTAAGTGTTGACAGGGGCGTTAAACCAATACCATTTTTTTCACCATCTTCACCGTCGTACCTGAGGTCCCTCAGCGCTGCCACGTGTTCAAAAAGCCAGGCGTTGTCCAGATGTCCGAGCCAGTTGTGGCTGAGGTCCAGCTTCCGGAGGCGGTTGAGGTGCGGGGGTCCGGTGAGGGCCTCCAGGGACTGTAGTTTGTTGTGGGAGAGCTCGAGGACTTCAGTGTCTGGCCACACCCCCGATGGCCATGACATCAGACCCTGCAACAAATATTGTCAAATGTTTTACACCTCCGTCGGCATAATTTAGGTAATTTAGTTCTAGGGGTGGGATGCTTTTACCCTGCCTGTCAGGACCAACTCGGGCTGAACGAGAAACAGCATTTCAGCGACACTCTGTGATACTTAAATGTACACTTTATAAAGACCCCCCAACCAACCACCCACATGGGAATTGAACTCGAGTCTTCTGCGTGCAATGGCGAAGAGCCCAGTTGTCGTACCACAGACGCGGTCCATTAGATCCCGTGGATAGTGAAATTGAGTGGAACTGCTTTACACTGGCATCCGTACAATCAAAGATGTTTAGGATTAGGAGACGGGAAAGTTTCAGCCTTAAAATTGCCTGTCAGAGCCAACGAGGTCTACGGAATACTTTATAAAATGTCTTTCCCGCGTGGGGATTGAAGTTCCGTTAGTTGGTTTGTTTTGTAATATTTTTCTCAGACCAGGCAAAAAAAAAACAACAACAAAAAACAACAAACAAACACACAACAAGCGAACCGTTAATAGACATGCCGGTTTTTAGATTTCTATTTTTCATAAAAAGAAAAATCGTTGTGTGGTGGTCAGCCCGAAACAGCTCTCATTGTTTAATATGAAAAAGAGGATAATATTAATACAACAACAGCCATATTACCTGAACGTTTGGTGTATGACCTTCCGCCTTTTTTGTGTTTGTGTGTTTATTTGTTTATGAAGCGAACCGCACCACGTGGAGACACACATTCACAAACTCCGAACAGTGCTTATAAAAAAGCGGCTTATAAATGGCTCCTCGATCAACACAGTCACCTCTCTCTCTCTCTCTCTCTCTCTCTCTCTCTCTCTCTCTCTCTCTCTCTCTCTCTCTCTCTCTCTCTCTCTCTCTCTCTCTCTCTCTCTCTCTCTCTCTCTCTTCTCTCTCTCCGCCTCTGTCTCCCCCTCTTCCCATTATTCCCTCACACACACACACACACACACACACACACACACACACACACACACACACACACACACACACACACACATACTGTCTCTTTTATCTCTGTCTCCCTGTCTCCTCTTTCTCTCAATTAGGCAGCAGTTATCTTGACACGCCCATTGAAATCGCCTTACGCTATGATCGAGTCGTTAACAATCACCACACCCGTCCTACATTATGGCTGTCTAGTCTGCCACAAGATACCGCTTTAGGAAGATTTCCTGGGACATTCCACAAGGAAAAAATATCACTTAACCTTTGGGCACCACGTCGGCGTCTTCCCCTTGTCAGAGAGAAAAACAATCAAATAAATGCAGCTATGGGTGATATATATTGGGGTTGGAATCTCATTCATCATCTCATAATCTGTCTCAAAATGTTTTCTAAATATTTTTCTTTTTGTACAAGTGTATTGCTTGTGATAACTTCAAGAGAAAAGTCATACATTTATTTTGCGAAATACACTTTCCTTGAAGTTGTATGGATTACCATCTATTAAGTCAAGTATTACGTAAGTATGACTAGAAAAACCTCAAAAGTAAGAAGAAAATAAAGAACAATGATAAGCTGAATAGAAATACAGTACTGGTAAAGAAAGGGCTGGCCTTGTAATGTTCTTCCTTAAAAGTGGTTGTTATATAAGGAACTGTTTATTCTTTGCGTGAGGTTTTACTCTCTGCAATCACGTGATCGATGTAAACCGCTCAGAGCTTTATATTTGTATGGGGTAAAGCGCTATGGAATTATGCAATCCATTATTATTATTTATAATTATTATTATTATTATTATTATTATTATTATTATTATTATTATTGTTATTGTTATTATTATGTTTATTGTTAGTACTATTATTGATATTACTGTTATTATTGTTGTTATTATTACTATTGTTATTATTATTATTACTATTTATGGAAGGTTTTCCGTATCGAGCGACCACCCCTAAAACTCAATAAAGAAGAGACGTAACCCTAACCCTAGCCCTACCCTAAACCTATTGCCCTAACTCTTCCCCAAACCCCACCCCTACCTCTACCCCTCTGTTCTGCTCTGTCTCATAGTGGTCGCTCGTTACGAAATAATAATTATTATTATTAATGACCTACCTGCCCTGTGCAGTTGACTGTAAAGGGGTACGGGGCCTGTCCAGGCCTCGGTGGTAGCAAACCTTCTGTCCCGCACCGACATTTCTGAGGACAAGTGTCTGTGCCTGCCTGGTCGCTGACCGCTACGTTGTTGTTGCTGCTGTAGTAGACGTCGTTGTTGCCAGGGATGTTGCCGCCTCTGAACCCACGTTCGTCCGCGTACAAGTGGATGGCCTCGACCCCGGGCAGCTGTGATGTGGTGGACGCCGTTGTTATGGCGACCACCAGCACAAGCCACGCCCACGAGAGTGTCATGGCTGCTGCTGGGGCGGATGGTGCTTACACATCACTTCCGGTTCCGTGATGATTGCAGGAAGTTGGTGTAGGCTGTCGGCAAATATTGGTGACTACTTCCGTATCAAACGAGGGAAATCAAACGAAGTTTGAAACAATCGGCTCGTTGTCCAGACACACGGTTTGAGATCACGCGTTTTGTATGTCGGAACAAACGATTTCTAAGGAGGTCTCTAGTGAAGTTGGGGATTTTTTATTCGACACTGTGAATATCAAGCAAAGTCCTTGAGAATTTGTTCCAATTAGCAAGTTGAATTTATGTTGATAATTATTTAATTTCCAAGGAATTGTTTCCCTGCTCGGAAACTTGTTTGTTTTCTGAAGCACATTCTTTCATTTTAGTCCACCTCAAGAAATATGATAAAGTACTTGGGCGCACTTTGCGAATATGCTCCAAAACACGAAGTTTTGAACCCCAACGCGTGTCAGCTCTTGGTCGGTGCTCAGCTGTGCTGGTCCGGAGTCGTCGACTGACACAGCAGGACTATCACACTGACCTCAAGTGACCATCTCGTGAGTGAGCAGACCTCGCCGGGTCACGCACGCTTTGAGTCTCCGATCGTCGAGTCCTCTCGGAGAAGACGAGTATGTGCGTGGCTCACTTGGGACACCTCCCCTCCCGCACCTTTCACAGCCGACTCACACAGAGGGCATTACCAACGCGTGTTGCTGTGTTTGTGAAGGGTCTATGTTGAATACGTTAATCTGAGCTCATTGTGAGGGGTTTTCAATGACGAGACATGAGAATGGTCAAAGCTTGAAGCGCACAACTCAAGACGTTGTTTTTCAATTGATTGTGTAAAGCGACGCCCACAAAGTCACCCTATTGAACTGGGACTGATTTTGTGCCAAGGGAAAATGCATCTAAAATCCAGACAGAATTGGTGGCTCCAGGATGGAGTCTTTTGAAGTGAACTTTTGGATATATTCAACAAACTGCCCGGTACTCTGTAAATGCCAATGCTACGGTCGAGAATTAGTGGCCTGCATTTCACCAGAAATCCGAATAAAAGTGTTCAGAACGAAGGGCTGGCCTTACTGTCATAGTGAAGATATTCCGGTGGTGGCGGGGATTGTGTTTTGGGCGTTCGATAATTGTTTTTTCCGTTATTCACTTTAGGTGCTGTGGTTGTTGTCTCCCGTGAGAGAGAGAGAGAGAAACAACAGCGTCCATTTATATAATTAATTACCCTTTGTGTTCTGTTAACTTGAGTGCATCGTCAGATGGCGCCAGTCATCTGTTGATGCAAGCACATCGTCTTTTGGTGGGTGTGGGTCATCTGGTTCTCAGTGTCGCCTCCGTATATCAGCTCTTTCTCTGCTAAGTGTGCGGCTAGTTGCAACAGGGAGGTTGGGCTTGACGATGTTGGGATTGTTGGCTCTCGTTCCGCTCAGAGAAGACTTGGTATGTCTGATAGAAAAGGGGAAAAAAGGAAAGTCATTAGCAGTTTGTATGGAAATGCATAAACAAATATCCATTCCTTCAGCAAACACACACACACACACACACACACACACACACACACACACACACACACACACACACAT